CAGCCCAGTTTAAAGATTCTTATTATAAACATTTACTCATTTACTATGCTTTAGCTAACTTCTGTGTGCCGGAGAAAGCCAAAAAGTACAAGTCATAGTCCCTGCTCCAAATGAACTCTGAACCTAAAGAGCAATGGCAAGCATATTTGTAACTGAAATAAACAGTCAGAGATGCTACAGCAATAATGTACACATAGTAACAAAGATGAGGGTATGGCAAAGATTAACAGAGGTGGTTGTAACTCCACAAGTAGAGTTTGATTTAGGCCTTGAAGAAAAACTAGGGCTTAATGGGACACAGAAGTGTGAAAGGACATTTGAGCAAGAAAATACAGTGAACTAAAGGAACAGTTTATCTTAAGATTCTTTTAAAATATATTTTTAATGCCTAGCCCAGCTCTTTTCATATATTAGACAAAAAGTTTATCTAATGACAGCAAAGACGTGAAGACAAATGAATAGATACATAATTTATTTGTAGTTAAGACCTTAGCCAATAACATAATCCCCTTTTATAACATTGCTCCTAATGGAAATTATGTTTGTTTTACAATCACTTACTTTATGACATAGCTTCCAGGAAAAGGAGACATAAAAAAGAGTTACTGCTGCAAATGACCAATAGAGAAGGGTAGTTTTAATTAATTGCTAGGCTTGCTTTACTTTTCTTTTCAAGACGTGAACAAGTTCTTTAAATGCTAAAATAAACTCATATATAACATCTATTAAGACTTTTACCATTTTCAAATTATAAATACCCAAATATGAATACCAATCACAAATTCTGACCCTAGAAAGAATTAAAGGAAGAACGATTCTGAGACTCATAGTAGCCGAGTAACACAAAGCTTGGCACATAATAAGAGCTTAGTATTTCACTAATTTGTGCACAGGCTTTAGAGCAGGGCAACCTGGCTTTACAACCTCTGCAAAGATAAAGAAAGGCTACCTTTAATCTATTATATATTTCTCTTTTTTGGGGGGTCATCTATTATATATTTCTAACTTTTTTTTTTTTTTTTGAGACAGAGTTTCACTCTTGTTGCCCAGGCTAGAGAGCAATGGTGCCATCTCGGCTCACCACCAGCTCCACTTCCCGGGTTCAAGAGATTCTCCTGCCTCAGCCTCCTGAGTAGCTGGGATTATAGACACATGCCACCATGCCCGGCTAATTTTGTATTTTTAGTAGAGACGGGGTTTCTCCATGTTGGTCAGGCTGGTCTTGAATTCCCAACCTCAGGTGATTCACCTGCCTTGGCCTCCCAAAGTGCTAGGATTACAACCGTGAGCCACCGCACCTGGCCCATATATTTCTATCTTTCGACATTGTACAAGTGATATGAGACAGTGTTTACAAAGGACTGGCAAGGAGTGGGCAGCAATAAGTGTAGTAAATATTAATAAAATTCTAGTAATAGGAGTGGATGCTCAGGAAAGCAAGGCATTTTACTAACAAAGAATAGACCAAAATCCTTATTTTGTCTCTCTGAAATGAGGTGATTAGATAATTAAATGTTTTAGTAGTTAGGGTGTTTATTTTGATAATAGCACCAATAATGACTAGATCTTGTAGTCCAAATTAAAACACAGCATTTTGGTGAATTTGATGGAGCATAAGGCACTGAAGCTGTCCACCTGTCACCCAACAATGTTACTTATTTGACATTGATATTATTTCCTTAATAATCAGCTCCATGATAACAAAAATATTTGAAGGCTAGAAAGGAGTATTTATGTCTGCACAATTGGTGGACCCCTAGCAGCCATGTTCACTGTACAGTTGCTTTGCAATGAAGTACACAGAGCAGAGAATGCAGGTTTTCTTTGATTGGGATTTTAAAAATTATTTAGGATTATGTGTACATTTGTTACCACATACTCACCACCTGGCTATCAAGGATCTGAACCTGTTTTCTATAAAATATATCATTTAAGTATGAAAACTCTGAAAGCTCACCTGCTTTACTATCTCTGTTTTTCAGCTCAATGCATAATATTACATTTCGAACCCTTCACATATTAAATTAAAATGAAGCTTATAAAATAAATGTCACATTTTTAAAATGTTACTCTTTAATAGAAATAGTTTGATACTTAGTTTCAATATCATGTTAAAAGACCTAAAGATTATCATATATTATCAGATATACTGAGTCATAAATAAATTATACTTCTAAAGGATGGCTATTTTGAATTATGTTTTCAGATTGTTACGGTCTGAATGTTTGTGTCCCATCCCAAAAATGTATTTGTTGAATCCTATCCCCCACGGTGATGGTGTTCGGATGTGGGGTGTTTGGGAGGGGAGGAGGTCCTGAGAGTGGAGCCTCATGAATGGGTTTAGTGCCCTTATCAAAGTGGTCACATAGAGCTCCCTTGCCCCTTCCACTATGTGAGGACAGGGCAAAAAGGTGTCATCTACGAACTAGGAAATAGGGACTCAACACACACCATCTGCTAGTGACTTATCTTGGAACATTCATCTTCTAGAACTGTGAGAAACACATTTCTATTGTTTATAAGCCACCCAGTTTTGGGTATTTTGTTATAGCAGTCTGAACAGACTAAAACACAAATGTTATCAAAGAAAAGTCTTACTTTGTTTTATATGAATATCTAAACATATGTATAACAGAAATATGTAATAATGTAATATATATATAATATAGTATATATATAAAATTCCTATTTTTTGAAAATATATCATCACATTTAGAAAGAATTTACCCACTGTTCCTTTAAGCAGTCAGTTTTTATAGCATATTTCTAATGGAAAACAGCCATGTGAAATGTAAAAAGCACTTATATTAGTAAGAATGGTTTGGTTTGCAAGCTTTACAAACTCAATGCTAACGAAACAAATATAAAAGCGTAGGTGTAGTGGGGAAAGCGAGTCAGGAATATAAAATGTATTGTTTATGCATGAAACCTTTGAAAGCTTATCTGCTGTATCTTATACTTATCTAGAATACCAGTTACAAGCACTGTAATTAAGGAATTCTAATACAATAACAGAAATACTCAGGAAATCCTTACCATCTCTATTTTTCAGTTCAATGTATAATATTACATTTGCATCCACAGGTTCAAGAGTTGCAACCATACCTAGGTGCCTGTCTGTCTCTGTCTGTCTGTCTCTCTCTCTCTCTCTCTCTCTGTGTCTCTCTCTACCTCATTCTCAGCTCTGGATCCAGCTAAGCTGCCTCTGTCGTCAGGCTGGCTCCCTCCACATAGTGGCATTAACACTGACCTTTTTCATCTATTCCCTCACTGTGTTCCTAGAGATGGTGATCTATGGGAAAGACGTAGCCCCTCTTTCCATGGTTTCGGATGGGGAGTTCTACTCCAAGATTGCAAAAGTTCCTTTCTCTGAACTCCACGGTGGTCTCAAGACAAGATATTGCTTAAACTAGGCAGAGAGGGCATGTTATCTTGAGTTATTACTGTGAAGCCCCCATGGAAAGGGCAGTGCTCCAGCAGTGTGGTCACACTCCCCTGAAATTAAAGTGCACGTACCTAAGCTGCACAGTTCATTGGGATCAGTTTGCAAGATATGGGGAGGAAGTGACAAAGAAGAGCAGTTATCAAGCAGAAGGCAGAATAAACTAAGCATATTGAATACACATGACGAGAGATTTGTTTTTTTTAAAAAAAAATCAAATCACTTGTAACGTTGATCGACAAGAGGTATTAAGGTGTTAAGATGCCGGCCAGCACGGTGGCTCACGCCTGTAATTCCAGCACTTTGGGAGACCGAGGCGGGCAGATCACCTGAGGTCGGGAGTTCGAGACCAGCCTGACCAACATGTCTCTACTAAAAATACAAAGTTAGCAGGGCGTGGTGGCACATGCCTGTAATCCCAGCTACTCAGGAAACTGAGGCAGGAGAATCGCTTAAACCCGGAAGGCAAAGGTTGCGGTGAGCCGAGATGGCGCCATTGCACTCTAGCCTGGGCAGCAAGAGCAAAACTCTGTCTCAAAAAAAAAAAAACAAAACAGGAAAAAATAAAAGCCAAGACTGGAAAATGAAATAACACGACAAGGAGAGTAGACTGAAAGAACTGATCAGACTCAAAGATTCTGAGATATGGTCCTTTCCCTGGAGCAGAGCTGTGGACAAGCATCCCTTATCCATGTCCACCTCTCCTCCCGTATGGGATACAGAATAAAACCTCCTGGGAGGGAGCACTGGAGAGGAAAGGTGGGGCATTTTGTTTCTGTGCTGGGTGCTACTGCAGGCACCTCCCGGAGCTAAAGGTTTCCTACTCCGTAGCTGGTGTGCACAACCAGAGCATCTGTGTATGGCTTTGCAATACCACATCATCACACTTCTGTAATTACACATCAGATGTCTCCCTACCCACTGGACTCTGCATCCCTGATAAGGGCTGAATTCTTTCAACTATGTATGACCTGTATCAATGTAACACTTGCTATACAACAGATGCTTAATAATTATATGATAAATGGCTAAATAAACAAACCTGTTTGAAACTAAATTACTAAGGAAAACAGATGAGCAAAAATAAGCAAATTAATTACAGAAAAAAACGTCTTAAAGGGCAATTAAATTACCATATATTCAGATCACAATGGTAATTTACATAAATCCAACATCCAAAACAAATATTTATTGATCATATACTATATGCCAAGTGCTAGGCTTGGTGATGAGATGACAAAGACAAATGTGAATGAATATGATATTCTTCCTTACATTACAAAGCTGAACTTTTTTCGTCTTTTGTTTTTTCTTTAGAGATGAAGTCTCACTACACTGCCCTGGCTGAAGATGAATTCCTAGGTTCGAGCAATCCTCCCACCTCAGCTTCCTGAGTGGCTGAGACTACAGGCACATGCCACCTCACCCAGCTGGGAGCTCAACTTTTAACTAGTTACATGAAGATACAATACGAGACAGAAGGGAGTAAGGAAGAAATACTAGTTTAAAATTTTAAGAGTTAAATTATGGAGCATTTTGCTGCTCCAAAGAGACTTACCCTTGGTGAGTTCTCACTCTGCCAGCCAGGTGTAGAAATAGTGGATGCCCTTATCTTTCCTTTAAGTGAAAGATCTCAAAGTTGTGGTGTTCATCCAGACTGCCCGGTGATAAAGTTTTCGTCTGTCTCCTGAATCGACCTGCCGACAGTGTCCAAATGCAGGAAATACTTGCTCTGTAAACAGCATCCCAGATTCTGGTTCTGTGAATCCAGTCTCTCCTTAAACTTCTGATGCCAACACATCACTTTACACCAGACCACCTGTCTTAATCCATTCAGGCTGCTATAATAAAGTAGCATTGACTGAGTGTTTATAAAAGAAATTTATTTCCCACAGTTCTGGAAGATGGAAGTCTGAGATCAAGGTGCCAAGATGGTCAGGTTCTGAGGAGGGCCCTTTTCCAGTTTGCAGACTACCATCTTCTCCTTGTACTTTTATCCTTACATGGTGGAAAGAGACCTCTCTGGGGTCCCTTTTCTAAGAGTACTAATCCCATTCATGAGGGCTACACCCTCATGACTTAACTCCCAAAGGCCCCACCTCCTAATACCTTGGGGGTTAGTATTTCAATATGTGAATTTTGGAGGTATACATTCAAACCATACCACAACCAAAGGAGTTAGACCACTGCTTCAGGATTCTGTTAAAATGCAGATGCCGATTCAGGAGATCAGGGATGGGACCTGGGATCCTTTCTTTCTCATGAACTTCCTGGAAGATGCAGTTCTGGGGAGGATCACACTCGACCTTAAAGAGTTAGAGGATTGTGGAAGGTTTAAGGACTGGAGTGTGCCTGTATTTTCCTAATGTACGTTGGGCATTCCCTTCACTAAATTCCAGTGGAGGTAAAGAATTCTGAGTAATGCAGTCATTCTATGATCAGGCAATAAGGTGTTTTCAGGATCAATTTTCTCTAAAGAATAGTTATGTGAACTAAAAACATCTTCCCTAATCGCCAAATCAAGGACTCACAGGTGTTGCTGGCCAGAGACGACACACCAAAAGAGAAAGAAAAAGCTCAAACCAGAGGCAACTTGGAGAGCTCCAACCCTCCTCCCTGTTTTGCCAAAGGTAGAAGAATTCTCGCATCTCCCAGATGCTCCTTTGTAGCCTCAGAGAAAATAAATCTCTGCCCTTAAACCAGGGCACCTGGAGAGCCTTCACTCACAAGTCAGAGATTCCTCCAGGCTTGCTTATTAAGATTAGATACGGAAAACACTGTTTGGGGAGAGAAAGAATTATCAGAGTCCTTTAAATCTTGGTGGGCATGGCATGCAATCTTGGCGGTCAGCGAGGCTGCTTAAGTCTGAGCCAGTGGTGCCAGAGGACAAAACAGCCACCTGCTCACGGCCGGCTATGTTGGAAGAGCTTTCCGGTTTAGCTCTCTCATTTTATCATCTCAATCTGCACATAGGTCACGCGGGAAACTCAGGTTATGCTACCTGCTCAAGGTCACACAGCCTAAGGTCAACTGAGGATATGAAAGTTCCCCAGAGCCATAGTCCAGCCTCTCCTTTAGATAGCACTTCTTAAAAAAACCAAAGGCACGCCTTGAAAAAATGCGGAATGTTCAGCCGCCAAATAGCCCCTGGGGTCGGCACTAGGGGCAGCTGGACCGCCCAAGCGGGCGCAAGGGTGGAGAGGGAGAAGAACCACTTCCGGAAAACAGACGCGAAGAGAGGAAGGCACTTCCGGGGCACAGAAAATGAGGATTATTAAAGAACAGTAGTTTCGCAGGTGAGGGCCAAGTAGCGTTAAAAGATACGCAGGGATTACAACGCCTCTCTAGGGTGTGGGTTAAAATGTCTCTCTAGATACTCGAAGATAACATGACTCTAAACGAGTAAGTCTTGCCTGCGCGGGAGGACTCTTCGGTCTAGCGGCCATCTTGAATCCAGAAGTTTAAATAGAGCAGGCGGGGCCGAGCGGACGCCTGCGTCGGCGCGATGACGTCACATGTCTGCGCGGGAGGCGGTACCAACCCCTGCCGCAGGACTTTCTTGGGCCGGCTTGCGTAGAGCGTAGCTTTACCTTGATGGCGGAAGGGCGTTGAATGACGGTCGGGCCCCGCCATCTGCTTAAAGGGACTCGTTCAACACGGAAGTGTCCCGGGGCTGCATTGGTACGGAGCCCTGGGGCCCAGCAAGGGTGTGCTCCTGCGGGACTGATGCGGGGACCACCCCGGCCCCGCCTGCCTCTAAGCCGCCGGAGGGCACTGTGCCTGTGCTGGCTGGGCCTGGCCGCGTGGATGCTGAGCACCCAAACCCCTTCCCGTCCCCATTTGCAGAAGTGGAATCAAAACTGGGGCTCGCCCCCGGATCATTGACTGGGATTCAGTCTACGCGGACGCCAGCGCAGCCTGCGGCGGCCGAGCCTCCTGCCCTCACAGGGCCTGGCCGGGTGCATCAGGAACAGGCGGTCTTAGGTCCCTAATTTCGAGGCCCTGCAGTGTGCCTCATCTTGGGGTCCCTGAATGGGGCCCTTGGGCCCCCAAGGAAACCCTGAGGCCTTCAGAATGGACAGCCTTGTGGAGGCACAATTGCATTCACGTGGGCAAGTAGTGCGCACTGAGGCATAGGAAAACATAATTTTCTATTTAGATATGTTCCAAGTATAAAGTGGTGGCGTGGCTGACATTTCATGGAGCCTTAAATTGCCTTCGCCAGTCATGACCTCAGTTAGTCTTGAGATACTTGGCAAAGAAATGTATTGCATTGTTGAGTGATTGCTTATTGCGTTACTGAGTGATTGTATTGGCGTTCATAAAAATATGGGTGCTCAATAGAAATGGGGAAGGGGAGTAGGGAACTATATTTAAACTTTTCTGATACACTTACCAAGAACAAATGTATTGTTCATTTGGAATTTGATACGGTCTCTAATAATTTTCTGTTTCATAATGGTAGTGCCGCCCCCACCCTGCAAAACGTTTCAAAGGGTCAAGAGAAAAGACCGAATGCCCTTGCCAACTGGAATGTATACATCTGTTTCTTGCCAAGTAATTAAATCGTAGATTGCATAATCTATGTACCGAGTAAATGTGGAATGTTGGGGGTGTTTTTGTTTGTTTGTTTTTAATGTATAAGACTTGGGTCAAGGTGAGGAGGGAAAGAAAAGATTTCCTTGAAATATTCTTGTGTTTAATTAGAATTAATTGAAACCACTGTGCTTAAAACAGAGAATGATGTTAGAAGAAAGCCTTAGAACGATGATCAACATAAGACTACACAGTACGTGGGATAAACTATTCCAACTTACAGCATTTTTGCTTTTTGTATTGCCAGTGCTGCAGCTAGAATGAAGCACATCAACCTGTCATTTGCAGCGTGTGGATTTCTGGGCATTTACCACTTGGGGGCAGCATCTGCACTTTGCAGACATGGCAAAAAACTTCTGAAGGATGTCAAAGCTTTCGCTGGGGCGTCTGCGGGATCCTTGGTTGCTTCTGTTCTGCTAACAGCACCAGAAAAAATAGAGGTAATTAAGTAGTAACTTAGACTGTGTTGCTCATCAAGAAATTAAGACCCAAAGGGAAACATGAGCATTGACTCTACTAAGTTAACACGGCAGAGAATTAATCCTTTGCTTGGAAACAGAAAGGATTAGGACTTTTCTTTTAAGATGTAATTATTAGGGATCTGTGCTCTGGTTGTGGAAAAGATTATTTTGCGTGATAGTGAAATAAGGAAATAAAATGACATATTACTCTTGAGTTTTTATTTATCCTTAAGATTCCAGCTCTGTTCCTTTCAAGCAAAGGATATTTCCTCTTTCTATGATGAGAAGAGCATGGGGCCTGTTTTCAAGGCCTTGAACATGTGGGCAACAAGTCTCTACTCACTGCTACGTAGAAATAGACATATAAATTAAAATGTGGGCAAGCAGTTTCTATTAAGTGGGATGGTATAGGAATTTAATTCTTTTTTAATTCTCACAGTGAAAGGAAGCTCTGAGTTCCAAGCAATTTATCCAGAAGTAATACAAATAAGTCTTCATTCAGTATTTTATTTAATGCAATCTATGTTTTAAAAATCTGTTTTCTGCTATCTAGACGGTGATCAAACATTTGCTGACTGTGAGAGCTGGATTCTGTAGTTGGAGGATATTATATTTGTTAATCATTACATACTTTAGCAGCTTTGAACAATAATGAAATAATAATTTAACACCCTCATGACCAAGAATGAATTTCAGTCACATTTAAAATTCTAAAACTATGCAATTTTAATCATCAAAATCTCACTTCAGATCTTTTGTGAGCTGCTTATCAAAGGGAAGCTAGATTTGAGGCCAATCATTCAGAAATCCACTTATCTTCCTGTCTTTGTATGGTTGATTTACAGGGAACTAGAAAAGTGATTTAAAAACTGCAGAGATTAAACAGGATGAGAACCGTAAGCCATGCAAGGTATAAATGAGGTGGGAAAATTCCCCCTAAACTAGCAGATTCATATGCTTTGAATTACAAGCTACCTCCTTCCCATAACTGTGTTTCATTTTTGAAGTAGAGGACTCTCAGGGTGTTACTTCTTCCTTTTTACTGCAGTCTTTTCTTGAGCTCTGGCAAATCCTAAGCTTTGGAGTTACGTAGACTTGGTTTCCAATTCTCAGCAAATTAAAAAATGTATTATATGATTTAGAATTAACCTGATTTGGAAATACTGCAATAGTACAGCCACTTATACTTAACTGAAATTCTGCCATGTTAAGACATTGAATAATTTACCTGAATTGGAGAGTTGATGCCATCATCTTCTCAGATTAGTTTACCTGTTGTTATTTATTTTTTGTACTAAATGAGAGACTGGGTTGTGTTGTCTGATGGTGCTGGTATGACGAAAATATGTCTTTATCTGGTTCTCCCATGGGAAGGTAGAAAATAATTTTCTTAGTTTCCTTAGGGCATCCTCATTTGTTCTTGTTCAAAATAATTTTTCAGCCAAAGTAACCCTTTGACTTAAGGTTATTTTAGTTACTTTATATTTAGCATCTGAAATAATCTACCTGTAGGATAGCCTTGAGTGTTTTTTAGCAAATGTTTCTACCTACTCAGATTCGTGTTCACTTGGTTCTTGCTGATGATGTAAGTTCCTCAAGCTTTTTACTGTTGTGACAAATACGTGTGTAATTAATCTTGTTCTGAGCTTATGCATGAATAATTAAGAGGAGCACCTGATACAGGGCATGTTTTAAGTGGTAGGCAAATTTAGACGTTGATATGGAAGAGCTCAATGCTGCAAGTCTTTCCTCTGCCCTCACAATTTGTGAGGAAGGCATGATGCTAGACTCAGTGGGGAACTCAAAGATGAGTAAGTCCATCTTTAATAAGTTTACAGTCTGGTCCGGGCTATGGAGAGTATTGAATATAACTAAAATTAGTACAAAGAAATAGGCTAGATGGGTAGTCTAGCTCAGTAGAATGAACATACATTTGGTGGGGCTACCCCCATTTCTCACCCAGGAGCTTCCTGCAGCCTATATCCATTCAAGCTCCCTACAATCCACCTACCTCATAGCACTTAGAGTGATGTCACCCAAAGGTATATCTGATCACCTCATTACCCCCGGGGCAGAGGCTGTCTGTTGACTTAGGATAATGTGGCCCACGTTTCTCAGCTTGTATCACAAGGCCCTATGTGACTTAGCCCTACTTGTGGCTCGCCATAGGGATGCATTTCAGCTCTGTGCCCCTCTCAGAGTTGTTCTTGCTGTTGTTTTTACTATCCTCTGCTTTCACCTTCATCCCCTGCCCAATTCCTGTTTATGTTTAAGTCCCAGCCTCGGTGTCAAATTGGAGGGAAACCTTTGGCAACCCACGAGGTTGGAGGTTGACACACACCGTATTCATTTCCTGTTGCTGCTTTGACAAAGGACCTTCAACTTAGTGGCTTAAAACAGCATGTGTTTATCATCTTCCAACTCTGGAGGTCTTAAGTCTAAAAGGGTCTCACTGAGCTAAAATCAAAATGTCCTTGCTCACTCTCTCCAGAGACTCCAGGGGAGAATCCATTTCCTTACCTTTTTCAGTTCCTGAAGGGTGCCCAGACTCCTTGGCTCCTGACCCCTTCCTTGATTTCTAAAGCCATAAGCACAGCATCTTCAAATCTCTCCAACTCTGTCTCTCCTACCTCCCTCCTTCCCTTACAAGAACCTTTTCGATGACATTGGTCCTACCCAGGTCATCCAGGATTATCTCCTCATCTCAAGGTCCTTAATTGGCTCTACAAAGTCCCTTTTAACGAAGGTCTCCTAGTCACAGGTTCCAGGGACTAGAATGTGGATATCTTTGTGGGGAGAGGAGAGACCACTGCAATAATATAGCCACTTAACTGAAATTCTGCAATGTTAAGACATTGAATAATTTACCTGAATTTGAGACTTGATGTCCTCATTCTCAAATTAGTTTACCTGTTATTATTTATTTTTTGCACGAAATGAGAGCCAAACACACCCTCGTGGGGGCTCTCATAGCCCTCTGTCACCTGCTCTTGGAGGCACTTATGAATGTCATGAGCACAGTTTCTTTGTATCTTGTGCTGTCCAAGTCCCAGTGCCTAGCCAAGTACGTGGTGTCCAGTTAATTGCCAAATTAATTCATTATTTAATACAAAACAGACTTGTGTGTAAATCCTGGCTCTGAGACTCATTTTTAGTGAGATATTGGGATAGGTACTTGAACTCTCCAATCCTCTGTTTTCTTATCTGTCAAGTTGGATGGTTATACCCACCTTGCAGGATGATGTGAAGATGAACTGACAGTGTCACCTCTGTGGATCCCAGTCCAGGGTAGACAGAGCATCCCTGAAAGACTTTATAAAATACCAGTGCCCAAGATGAATCTCCGAAGACTGGTTCAGTCTGTGCAAACCATAGACGTCACCACTCCTATTTCTGTCACTGGTGCTGTCATTTGTAATCAGCTTTATTGCAGGGTTGTAATCAAACTGCTGCTGAGACCACAAAATAGGTGTGGGAGAGAAGGTTAATTGCACTGAGGAAACCTTCTGAAGAATGTGCTCAATTAAAATTCAGATTGAGCCTTCAAGGATTTTTCAGATGGGGCAAATGCCATTTAAGGTGCTTTACAAAGGAAAAAACAAAAAAGATTAGGATTTTGAGAGTGTATACCTTGCAAAGGGCCTGAGAGTGGTGGGTGAGGCCCCAGCCAGGTGGAGAATTTGCACACCTTTAATAATGACACATAGGGTCACTTCTTAATTTTCTTTTTTTAGGAATGTAACCAGTTTACCTACAAGTTTGCCGAAGAAATCAGAAGGCAGTCTTTTGGGGCAGTAACACCCGGTTATGACATCATGGCCCAACTAAGGTATACAGAGTACATTTTGCCCAAAAGTACATGAAGACAGAATGTTGACGACTCTCTGTACAAACTGTGGCAAGCTCAGCATTCTCTCTTGTAAAATATTTACAGGGCGTTCAGTAATTAAAGGTGAATGATGCAGATTGCTTTTTCTTTAGAAGTGGAATGGAGTCGATTCTTCCTCCCAACGCTCACGAGCTGGCCCAGAACCGACTGCACGTATCCATCACCAACACCAGAACCAGAGAAAATCACTTAGTCTCCACTTTTTCCTCCAGGGAGGACCTCATTAAGGTAATAAAGCCATGTTTCCTATTTGAAGAAATCAGCAGGTGCTGATTTCAATACTTTATATAAAAGTAATGAGCATTACCATGTTCTTTAGATCTGTATCTCTTATCAGGCCCGATAGATGGTTGAGTGCTCAGTAAATTACATGTTTGATGAAAGTATTCACCAGGATCCCTCCTGAGGCCGCCTCATGATGCACTGTCATCCAAAAGCTCCCTGTACTTGTTCAGTGTCTTCCTGCAATGTTCAGATCTCACATTGATTATGTGAAGCAAGTCGCTGATGCAATTTAGTAGCAATAATTCCCAAAATCTATGTGGCTAATACTTTGGAGTGTATGTAGGGTTTTTAACATGTACTCTCTTATTCAGTCCTTCAAGTCCTTCTGTAAGTCAGTTAGGATAGGTGTTATTGTGACCCTTTTATGTTTTTGTTTTTGTTTTTGTTTTGAGAGGGAGTCTCGCTCTGTTGCCCAGGCTGGAGTGCAGTGGTGCACTTTTGGCTCATTGCAACCTCTGTCTCCTAGGTTCAAGCAATTCTCCTGCCTCAGCCTCCTGAGTAGCTGAGATTACAGGCATGTACCACCATGTCCACCTACTTTTTGTATTTTTAGTAGAGACAGGGTTTCACCATGTTGGCCAGGCCAGTCTTGAACTACTGACCTCAAATGATCTGCCCGCCTCGGCCCCCCAAAGTGCTGGAATTACAGGCGTGAGCCACCGCACCTGATCCCTTTTATGTTTTTAACAGAAGTGAATGAAAATATTTTATGTGATGTATGTACCAATGTACCCAAGATTATCCTGCGTGCAGTGGGAGCCACTTCTGGTACCCAGGTCTCTTAACTTTTCAATCTAATATTCCGTTTTGTTTCTTCCATTTTGTTTTGATGTCTTTCTGTCCAAACACATTTGAAAGTTGGTTGGTTGAGAATTCATTATCTCTGGGAAATACTTCAGCTGATTGATTTCCAAATACCAGTGTGCCTGCTGTGGTAATACACTGAATATTTGTAGGGTGGAAAGGGTGTATTTCTTTTGGAATTTTTTCTTGTTTTTCCCTCTAGTGCAAATCATAACAAGCTTCAGGTAATAGGGAGAATGTATGTTTTCATACAGCGGAAGGTAATGGGTTGAGAGTAAGTGGTAAAATTCCATATACTTGGATGCTGTCATTTGAAATACTTAATGAAATGTTGAATTGACAAGTAAAATTACTTGGCCACTTAATAGGTTAGAATATTTTTCCTCAATATCCCTGTTACGTCAGTCTGTCACTTACAAGTTAAGAGTCTTTCTTATAAGAAGACATTATTCTATAATCTCATTACAGTATTACGTAGATTTGACAGTGTAAAGGGAAGAGCTGGGCAACCCATGCTAAGTGGTCCTAAGTCATCAATGTCCAATACAGACAGATAAGGATTGCAGTGGGCAGACATGCATCTTCGTGTTTATCTAGGAACAGACTATGTGCTCTTGTGACATAAAATGAGAGGGATTCTGCCCCCAGATCTCTCTTTCTCACGGAGTCCATCCCTGGCTTCTCTGTCTACAATGACAGAACTCTCAGCCCCTGATCTCCCTACATCCCTCCTGATTTACGTATCACTCTTTAGCATGATACCTCTTTACTGCTGTCCTGTTTAGCTTTTATTGTCCATCCTCCTTCACCGGAGTGTAAGCTCCAAGAGGCAGGGCTTTCTCTGGTTTGCTCACTGCTATAGCCCAGTACCTTCCACACTGCCAGCCATTGTGTAGGCACTCTGTAATATGTGTGAAATGAATGGATATGAACCAAGGTTGTATCTGTTACACTGGCTTGATTTAAAACAAAAGAAAAGAAAGAAACTGGGCCCTCCGTACTCTATGACCCGGGCAAAATCACATAGCTGGCTGGGGCCCAGCTGTGACTGTGGTCCACGCGTCTAGCATTCTTACCTAACTCTACCCCACACTGGATAAAATGCTCATCCTCCCTATCCATCTCTTTTATGTGGCAGACAGAAGAATGACACCCAAAGCTGCCCTTACCCTAATCCCCAGAACCTGTCCAGATGTAACCTTACCTGTCAAAAGGGATTCTGTAGATGTGATTAAGTTTAAGGTCTGAGATAGGAGGATGATCCTGTATTATCCAAGTGGACCCAAACTAAGTACCTGAATCTTGAAAACTGGACACCTTTCCTGGATTCTGTGTACCATGGCTGGTTTGGAGATGTAAGAGCCACATGCCAGGGGAGCACAGAGACTTCTAAGGAAGCAGCTCCCCACTGTCAGCCAGCAAAGAAAAGGGGACATCTGCCCTGTAACCTGTGGAACTGAATTCTCCTAACACCTGAATGTGCAAGGAGACACATTCTCCCCCAGAGCCTCCAGAAAGAGACGCAGCCCTGCTGACACCTGGATTTTCCCAGTGAGACCCATACCAGACTTTGGACCCTCAGACTGTATGACAATACATGTGTCTTGTTTGAAGCAGTTACATTTGTAGTAATTTGTTATAACGGCAATAGCAAACTGTTGCTGTTAAGAAAACATGATGTTTTTCTAGTTCCTTTGTTTTGGATAATAACTATTCAGAGAATTCGTGTAATTACTTGAGTTCATTGAACAGAAGAGAAATTGTTGACACAAATGTGTAATACTTGTAAGGAGAAAATCAAATAATTGACATTTATTCTGGGTTCTACAAGAAACATTCTACGTGTTTAGGAGGATGTTTTAACCTTTTTCAGAATTAAAAAGAAGGAAGGATGAATAGTTCCATGATAGCAGATGGTGACTGTTAAACTGTGAAACTTATGCCTGGAATACTCAGGAAGAATTTAGCAGAAAAGAGTGACAATGCGGGAAGACTAGGGATGATGTAGGAAAGGAATAAGTGTGAGGGGAAGTAAAGTAACCCCCCTGCCAGGTAGGGACATGATCAAGTATATATGTTCCGGTGAAAGAAGAGGATGGTGGGAGAATGTTGTCTGAGGTGGTGCCATGGGAGGATGGTGCTTCTGACCTTTTTGGTTGGGATTGGGGAGGCTGCCTGAAGGTCACCCCACTCCCTTTAGGTGGAGACAGGAGGCTCTGAAGCCATGCGTTGAAGCAGCTCGATGATGGGTAGCTGCAGGTCTCCCAGGGCTTGGTACACCTGGCTCTGAATACACAGTCTGGGGTCTTGATATGGTTTGTCTGTGTCCCCCCCCCCAAAATCTCACCTTGAATTGTAGTTCCCATAATTCCCATGTATTGTGGGAGGGACCCAGTGGGAGATAATTGAATTATGGGGATGGTTTTCCCCATCCCATACTGTTCTCCTGGTAGTGAATAAGTCTCACAACATCTGCCTTTCACCTTCCACCATGATTGTGAGGCCTCCCCAGCCACATGGAATTGTAAGGCCATTAAACCTCTTTTTCTTTATAGTTTACCCAGTATCGGGTATGTCTTTATCAGCAGTGTGAAAATGAACTAATACAAGTCTACTTCCCAGTATCTGGATATTCTTTAGATGGAGGGGATGGGAGACAGAGAGAAAGAGAGAGGTTGATTAAAACTCAAGTTAGAGAAAAGTGCATGGGAGAGCATGAAATACTAAACACTGATGATTTTCACCTCCTTTAAACTTTGCTCCATGTTGTATTTTCTGTCTGTTTTTATCATTAACTCATTTGTTCTGCTACTTAATAGTTGAATTTTTTTTAAAATGCCCAGTTTTTCATTATCCACTAGCTGACTGATGCTGTTTGTTACAGACAGCGTGCCTACATACCTGAAAATCCAACTAGAAACCTGTAGCTTAGAATGTGTGTGTGTGAGAGAGAGAGAGAGAGAGAGAGTGTGTGTGTGTGTGTGTATTTTGAGGTCTTTTTGAATCTCCTCAAGGATGGTTACTTGTTTTATGAGTGTCCTGGTGATCATGTCTAGGCCTGTCGTTTCCTGACGTCGTCCTCTTGGACTGATTATTTTTGAGTCTCAGTTTTCTCATCTCTGAAATGGAATAATTCACACAGTAATACTAACTAGTGTTACTGTGCAGAATAAATAAGATAAAGCATGTGAAAGTGTGTTTTAAATGGTAAAGCCCTTTATGCATGCTGAATGGAGCCAATATTTCATAAATAATGAACAAATAATAACCCATACACACCCCTGCTCAGCGCCCTTGTATGAATCTGTCATGATATTTTAAAGCCATGTTCAGTCACAACTTTCTTTTCTTCAGGCTGAATAGGACTTACTTTTTCTTATCAATGTTATTCTTTAACCCCTTACTTATCACCTGTCTTCATGAACAATGTGCTAATTGATATCTGTAATACTTCAGGAAATGGTTGCTGCTGAGTTCTTGCCACCTTTAGGCATTTGATTTTACAGCTCATCATCATAAGCCTTCTTTTTTAAAATAAATAATTTTGTATGATGATTCATACTTAATTTATCTTAATGAGCTTCACCTGTAGTGGCATGGAAAATCACTCGTTTGAAAGCTGCAATGCTAGTTGATTGTTTTCCTGGAACCCTTGCTGACTGTGTGGTCCAACTCTTCATTTTATTTAGAGTTGAATTTCCACAGAATTTTGAATCTTATGTTCATGAGGATTTAACTCAGTCTTTTCTACTTTATAAACCGTTATAAGACAGATGCAGGCCTTAAGGCATTCCTTTGTTCAGAATTTATTGGTGTCAACCATTCCGCTCCTCCCTTATAGTGACTGTACTAACAAAGGGAAACACAGATGGTGTCTGCTGCTCAACTACTTAAAGGCAGCCTGCAGAGGGGAGACCCCTTTATAGAGTTAACCAGAGCCCCAGGAGGCCTCCCTCCAAAATCATATCTTTATTTCCCATCTGAGAGATTGATTTCCGGGTGCCACACCCAGAAAAATGTTCCCTCCAAGGATGACCCTTTATGTCTGTGGGTCACCAACAGATCAAAACCAAGATGAGATCAGTTCCTGCAAATGCAGATAATTTAGGGGATGGAAAAGAGTCATGGAGGGGTGGTACACATCCACCTAACCCTGTCATGGGTGGGCTCTGGAACCTTTGGTGAGTCTCAACTTCTTGGAGCCTTGGTTTCTTCATCTTTAAGATGGATACCTTCAGAACAAGGCTAAATGAAGTATGTATGAAAGTATTTCATCAACTCTTAAGTACATACCAGATGTGCATGGTCACCTTCAAGTGCCTCCACTCTCCAGACATCCATCTCTTCATACTGTTCATTATTTTGCATGATTCCTTCCTGATTCCTCTCCTGGTGTGCCGCTCTACAGAGTATCCCCCGAGTGTCAAGTGTGCGCATTTTGCATACCAACTCATTCATTTCGAGTTCCAGATTTTGTTGTGGGCTGTTTTTCTTTAGAAGCATGCATGCAACTAGGAAATCCAAACACATTTTAATGTTAGCCTTCAGCAAAGCATAACTAGGGAGGTGAGCCCCTAGGTTAAAAGAAAGTCATATGCAACCTCCATGGCTGAGCTAAAATGATGTGTAAAAAAAAAATTAACAGTGCAGTGACGTGGTGGAGTTCCACTACTTCCCTGAATTGGTACGAATCATTGAATTCTTCATGTTTAAGACTGATACACAAGTGTTTTCCAAAAGGGTCTTTTGACACGTGTGAATGCTGTAGGATAGAGGTACCCAGGAAGCCTTTCCTGCGCAGTAGTGTCCCTGGCCATCTTGAGAAAATTCTGCCCTGTCTCTATTGCAGTGATGTCCTGAATTTCTTCGCATGTGTGAGAATGCTCTTAACAAGATCCTCTCACATTTAGCCTTGTGAAGGTGAAATAAGAACTGAATTTGAGATTGGTCATTATCTTGGAAAAACTGAGGAAGATAAATTTGAATCTGTCTTTGAATTTCAACTATACCATCAGGTTCTGTATAAACAGTTAGAGTCTCATTAAAGTCCACAGTAAACTTTAAGCATAAATGAAACTTGTTGAGAATTTAATCCCTAAGGAAGCTAGGCCACATAATTTTCTAAACACCTCTTTTCTATAAAATGCAAAATGAAGAGAGTCAATCAGAACATGTCGAGAATGCGCACCTGGCAGTGTTTTATACTGTTGCTATAGGAAGACACTAGCTCTCATTTTTATCATTGTGTATTTAGTAAGAACACAAATCAGTGGTTTCACATATGTCCAACATTTAAAGTGCTGTACCAAGTGATAGGGTGTGAAAACTACACCCCTGCTTTCCACATCAGCATTCTCAGCCACAAACACTGCACTCCTGGCAGTAGGGACCCAGATTATTCCCCAGATAGTTATTTCTTGTGACAGCTGTCTATCCTTTGTAAGAATTTGAGCAGCATCCCTGGTCTCTGTTCAGTAGATGCCAGCAGGACACCACCGCCCCCCACCCTCTACCCCAGGTTATGACAGACACATTGATAAACGTCCCTGGGGGTAAAATCACCCCCAGCTGAGAACAAGTGCTGTAGACGTGTTGAAGTTCATTGGCAAGGTGAATTTCACTGGGAATATTGTGAGGTGAAATACACTAAAAGCATATGTTTAGGCATAATATTTTATTATATGACCTTAGAATGTCAGTCTTTATCTCCTTTCTTAGGAAATCCTATTTGCCTGCAATAAAATGGCAGTAAGCTGACTACAAATAAGAAAAGCTACTTAGCTCTTAACTATCTAAAGCTAATTTCCCCACTAAACTTGGTTTGATATACAAATCATCAGTCCATATAAAGGGAGAGTCAGCTATGACAAAAACAAATACATTTATTTGGAGGAGTGACAAGTATTTTCCAGTTCACTGCACTTTTCATATCATTCAGGAGGATTCTTACTGTTATTATCTGTAGGAAAGTAATTGGATAGCATTTTTCATCAAAATATCTCAAAATAGTTCCAAGCATTAACTTGTGAACTCTACATTTTACTTTGACACGGGGGAAAAGAAAATAAAACAAACCGTAATTCTAAGGTTAGTGATTTTTTTGCAGTTCACATGTCTCTCTGCAGAATAATGAAATAAATCATTATATTTATGGAGTGTTTTTGGTTCTTTAAAGACCTCTAAGTACTGTAATTTCACAATATGTGTGCTATCCACAAATTGCTCTAGTTATTGCTTTGTGGTGTGGCATTTGCTGAATAAGTTCATTAAATAGCTACATTGTGCTTGCAAAACATACCTAGGGTCTGTGATTATTTTTTTAAAAGTGTAGCCAATTGCTGATAAGGCTGGGTTTAGTTAGGGTGAATGCAGTTACCTTAACCGTAAACAACCTTTCTCTGAAGCCAATGATGTTATTGCTACCAGTGGGCTGAGAAGGTTGGAGTTGAAGATGCCTGCTTTCTGTCCTCTCTCTCCTATTGATTTATTAAGTGATCTTCACCAAATCACCCAAGGTGCTACTCACTCCTGCTTTGCCTCTTTGTGAAGGAAGCATGATTGCTGTAATGTCACAGTATTGCATTATGTGGGCCATTTAAAGTTGAGATTTTGAGAAGAATGTCGTGATGCGGGCATGTCCGCAATGACATTTTGTAGAAGGTTGACAGACCTTGTGTGAGGTTATTATTATGCCTTGTAATAAATAAATAAACAAGCACATAAAAAATAAATACAAGTGCCTGCTTTCCTTTGAGAAACAGTGCTGCAAACTAGCGTGCTTTCACTATTTCAATAAACAAGCGATTGAGATAGATGTGTATAAAATTGACCAAAAGATGAAAAAAAGACTCATTGTGAGAAATCTGAAATGTTTATGTTGGCTCTGGTAAAATATACATTTTATATTAAAATAAATTGGTGCCGGGGGCAGTCTCAACCATGTATTAGCAGAGAGATCTTTGAGCAACTTTATCTTTTTGAGACAGGGCCAAGAAATAATTAAATTAGACAGTATATTTGAGGCAAAGTCTACTTCATGAGTGTATGACCTGTGCATTTGCACATGGCTCCACTATCCAAAGGGCCTCACCATTGGTTTAATGCTCTGCTGCCAACATCTCAATATTCTCCATACTTTATGAACAAGGGGCCCTGCATTTATTTTATTTTGGACAGGACCCATAAATTATATAGCTGGTTCTGGCACCTAGTGCCAGCATGGTGCAACAGAACCCTTTCACACATGGCTATTTCTTACCTTCTTTCCTGCTGGAGTCCCTGTGTTGTGCTGTTATCCTTGAATTTGCCACTGCTGAAACCTGAGGCCCCAGAAACTTCTTTGGGCATTTGTCAGGAGCCTGTTGCTATAGGAGCTGTTACAACCAGGCCTGTGCCTTTGCAACCAGCATGCCACCAACAGCACTGGGCAACCTTCTTTAGTCCCACTATTGAGGTAGGTGGAGGAGTGTTGGGTCCATTCACATCACAGAGAAGGGAGAGAAATACCCAACAGATGTTTGTTGAGTATGAGCTCTGCCAAGGGCTGGACATACCAGGAGAGACACAAGTCCCTGTCCTTTCAGTGGGGTTTTTGGTAATGAGGAAACAGGAGACATGTCCAAGGAAGAACCACTGCATAAGAAAGCTATAGAAGTTCCCTGTACATGGTGCAGAAATAAAAATGGCAAGAGTAGGTTCCAGCTGTGTCGGGTTGCAGCTCAAAAGAGGATTTTCCTATGGAAATTGTTATGCTGCTGACTGAATCTGTAATTTAGTTGCCATTCAGAATAAATAGGCTTTTGAGAGCTGACCCAAAAACCATACCTATAACATTGATTTTTAGAGGAAATGCCTTTTGAGTTCTAAATAATTGTAAATGGATGATCTGCAAGTCAGCATTTGAGCCATAATCCATTTCTGAATAATGTATGATGAAAAAAAAAGTCTCATGAAATCTTTGACAACAAACAGCCAGAGTCTTTCACTTATCAGTTGAAAGATTATAGCTTAAAAAATATTCAGTATCTAATGCTGTATGTTTTCAAATAGAACACTAGTGATTTGGAAACTACACAGCAAAATAAAACATTTACATTTCAGAAAAGCTATCAGAGCCCAACTTCTTATGATGTATGGAATGGTAATTGCCTAAATGACAATCTTTTTCAACTTTTTAAATGGGAGCTAAAGCATAATTGATGTCACTGCTTGCCAGGGTTCCATTACATATCCTGACCACGTCATTGGAACATAAAATATGTCATTCCCTTTGCAAATCCTGGTGACATAAATGAGAACATCTCTGAGCTGTGGACTAACCTCTCCTGTCATAATCAGAGGGCGTTGTTCCTCCAGAAAGTAGGAGTGCAACTGTAACATGGTTTTTACAGTATATGATAGAACATTACAAATAATTTCTCTGTAACCTTTACATACTCAGGAACTTAGACTTACCTTAAATTTTGGTTTATAATAACTTGTGTGTCTACTATAAAAAATGCTGATTTTTATCCAGGTGAAGTTGATTGATTCTGAGTGTGTCAACTTGTACCTATCTGTTTAGAGTCTTTTCTGTTATTAAAAGTATTATCTTTTATGTAATTATGTGCAGTGCTGCACTTGAAGTCTGTGGCTTATTTATTGAGATTTTGCTAGTCAATACTACATCAACTGTATTGTCTGAATGTTCATGCATGTAGTCATGAGCTGCTTTATTTTATCCATCTAGGTCCTCCTAGCCAGCAGTTTTGTGCCCATTTATGCAGGACTGAAGCCAGTGGAATACAAAGGGCAGGTAAGCTTGTTATAACTGAGGAATTACCTTCCTCCCCATATTAATATGTTTCTTTCGAAACATCCAATTTTAGAATTGTTCTGGTGGCTTCAAATCAGTCTATATGTTTTTTTCCTCATAAATAGCTTTGTTTCTCTTTAAGAGGAAAAAAAATACTGGGCCAGTGATAACTTATCATCAAGATCTCGTGAATGGGAATGATTGACTGTGATGCTCTTATTTTCATCATATATATATGTGTGTGTATGTGTATATATATATGTTCTGTTGTTGCTGTTGTTATTAGCAGTGAATGATTTTTTTTCCCCACATAGTAAAGTCCTACTCACAGCCCCTTCTAAGCAGAGTTGTACCACCATCAGGGTGAGAAAAGGCTTCAGGGCTCCACACCTTGTCCTCCCCCAGACAATGCAGCATGGGTTCCTTCCAGCCTGCCCTCAGCCCCTCTGCTAGGGGATGACCCACTCCCTTCCAAGGGTCTCGACTTACCCAGACACATTGATCACTGTAAGGCCAAAACCCATTTTGTTTGAGGAGAGTGCTCCTCTCTTGGAGCTGGCACTTAAGACAGGATGCCAGTTCTTTTAGGGAAATTTAGACATGGGAATGCACCTAAAGTCTGCGCTGAGTGTGACCCAGCTTCCTTCTGTGATCTACACAGAGTTTGTTTTGAGTATTCACCATTCTATCCGAGGCAGCTCCCCCATTGCGTGGACACAGGTTCAATATGAGCATTTTATTCTCAAATATGGTGTCTGTTTCACACATGTCACAGATATATATTTTATAACCAAATGTAGTATTTGGTTTAATGTGTTTATTTAACATATGATGGAAACATACATTTTATAATTAATACAATAGCTATTTTACAGACACCAGAGATATGTATTTTCTAATCAAATAGAGTATCTGTTTAGCACATACCAGAGATATGCATTTTATAATCAAATGCAGTATCTATTTAACACATACCAGAAATATGCATCTTATAATCAAATAGAATAGCTATTTAACACATACCAGAGATATATATTTTCTAATCAAATAGAGTATCTGTTTAGCACATATACCAGAGATATGTATTTTATAATCAGAGTTATCTAACACGTACTAGAGATATATATCTTTTAATCAAATATTATACCTATTTAACACATTCCAGAGATATATATTTTATAATTAGAGTAGATATCTAACACATACCAGAGATATGTATTTTATAATCAAATAGGGTATCTGTTTAGCACATACCAGAGATATGTATTTTATAATCAGAGTATCTGTCTAACATGTACCAGAGATATGTATTTTTTAATCAAATATAGTACCTATTTAACACATGCCAGAGATATATGTTTTATAATCAAATAGTGTAGATATTTAATACATATCAGAGATACATATTTTATAATGAAAGTATTTAGCATATATCTAATAAGGTATTTAGCATATATCAGATCAGGCATATATTCAGGATGAATAAATTACATTTGTTTTATATATATGTAATGTATATTTATTTATTAATAAAAGAGTACATACAAAGTGCTTTAACCATCATTCATTCATTCATTCACTCACTTTGAGGGCCCAGCACCAGGCCTGTGCTTAAGGAATTGATGGTCTCTCAACAAAAGAACTGAGTTTTACAAACCCTTTGGCTGATAGGATCGAGGCAGTGTCTCTGTTCTGATCTCATTGGTCCTCATCAGTGTCTTTCCTTGAGCTTTGCTGAACTTTGGAATTTTTCTTTTCTCTCGTGCAAATCATAATAGGCTTCAGTTAATATGGAGAGTGTATGTTTTGATAGAGCAGAAGGTAATGGGTTGAGAGTGAGTGGTAAAATTCCACATATTCGGATGCTGTCATTTGAAATACCTAATGAAATGTCGAATTGACAAGTAAAATTACTTTGCCACTTAGTAATTAGAATATTTTTCCTCTATGTCCCTATTATGCCAGTCTCTCACTTACAAATTAAGTGTTTCTATCTTAGAAGGAGAGGCAGGTGGTAGAGGCTCCAGGTTCTCTTCCAATATACACTTTCTTCTTCTTCCTTAGTAACAGAATCCCAATTTATATCTGGACCTATGGCTGTGCAGCTAGGTTATATATCCCAGCTTCCCTTGCAGTTAGGTGTGGCCGTTTGTTTTATTGTTGGGCAATGACATGTGAGCCGAATAACTGTGGGACTTACAGTACAAGGAAAGTTGTATACCTTTCCATTTTGCCTGTTGCCCAGAACTTAGATATGATTACTGGAGCTCCAGCAGCTATTGTTCATCATGAGGTCAAGGATCACACCCTGAAGAAGGCCAAACAGTGAACTGGAAATACCTAGGTCCTAAATGATTTGAGGAGTCTGCCTTACCATCCTGCCCTCGATATTCCTGTTACCAGAAAAAAAGAAGTAAAACTTTTTTTTTTTTTTTGAGATGGAGTCTTGCTCTGTCACTCATGCTGGAGTGCAGTGGTGCAATCTCAGCTCACTGCAAGTTCCACCTCCCAGATTCATGCCATTCTCCTTACTTAGCCTCCTGAGTAGCTGGGACTACAGGCGCCTGTCACCATGCCCGGCTAATTTTTTGTATTTTTAGTAGAGATGGGGTTTCACCGTGTTAGCCAGGATGGTCTCTATCTCCTGACCTCATGATCTGCCCGCCTTGGCTTCCGAAAGTGCTGGGATTACAGGCGTGAGCCACCGTGCCCAGCCTAAAACTTTTGTTATTATTGTATACACCAGAATCCAGTGCTATCTGCTGTAGGGATTCTTACTTCCAATTTTACATGTGAGGAAAATGAGATGTAAAGACGTCAGTCTATTTCACTGAAGTCTCTGAGCTTAGAAGGGGGCAACTTCCCCAAGATAGTCCTTAATGTTTCTATCTTTGCTGTGCCCCTTACTCTGCTTTGCCCTTTAGTTCTTTTCAAACAATGCATTCCTTGTTTTCTTCCTGTCCAGCCCCAGTGCCATGTCGTGGGTGTGTGACAGGAAGACTAGCAATGTTTAAAAGGGCATGAGTGAGGAATCAGAGTTTCTAGTGAACTTTCCATGATTTGATTGAGTACTTTGGACATGAACATAGAGTGACAGCCACAATTAAACAGCAGGGAACGCACAGGCCCAGAACTGTGAGGAAGATGGAAAGCGACCCACCCAAGCCCCCTGACCCTGGGCAATGTCCCAGGACAGTGTCTTGCTGATCATGTGGTTTCTGTGCATAGGAGGCACATCATAATTACTTGTAGAGTTGAACCTTATGTCTCCTGAAAGCATTCAGTTTTCCTCTGTTGTTTAATGGAGTCTGCAATAAGGGCCTCACGCACATGATTGACAAGAGAGCCACAGTGGCCTCGCATTGTTTATAACACCAGAAAGCGACAATTTAGAAGTACCATTCTCTGCTTAACACTAACTCTCCTTAAGCCTGATCACCTCCCACATTCTAATAGGGTTTCCATGCCGCGTTGTTTTCTAGAATCTTTCCTTTCCATTTTCAGGGAAGTGTGAAGGTTGCTTTAAATGCAGTGTTTTAATGTTAGTATAAGCTTTTTATGTGATTTAAATTATTTAAACATTTCAGTCATGCTGAATGCACCTCTCGTTTTCTAGATTTTCATGTTTTCATAGAGCTCAGGTTTTGATGTATTTGTTGTCTTTGGTTGTTTTTCTGAAGTGACAAAAGTGGAGGTGGCAGAAGGGGAAAAAGAGACTTAGTGTTACTTATGTTTGTGGCATTGAGTCAGGAAAGGCAGACAAAGTGGGACTCGGGAAACAGGGGCAGAGTCTATTCTCTCCACTTGTGACTTTTGTTAAATACACAGACCTCCTCATTTCTACATTGCAGGTATTGCTGGATTTTATTAAGATATATTTGTGGATCCAATATGTGCATTAAAATGTTTTTATTAATCGCTTAGAAGAATCGTACCTTAATAATACATAAGATTAATTTCAACTAGAGCAAACACCAGTATGGGTCCTTTCAAAACCCTCTACCAGTGGTTTAAAGTGGAATGATGTCTTTGAAAATTACTTTTTCTTTTTAACTTGGGAAACATGGCAAAACCCTGTCCCTACGAAAAAATACAAAAATTAGCCAGGCATAGTGGCGTGTGCCTATAGTCCCAGCTGCTTTGGAAGCTGAGGTGGGAGGATCACCTGAGCCTGAGGAGGTTGAGGGTGCAGTGAGCTATGATCACACCACCATACTCCAGCCTGGGCAACAGAGCAAAACCCTGTTTCAAAAAAAAAAAAAAGAAAGAAAAAGAAAAAACTGCTTTTTAAAAAATATTATTTTAAAAAGTTCTGTAGTTTTCTGTGGCTTCATCTTATGACTATTTTAGTACCTTACTTATAGTACATACTCATTAATAGATGTGTCAGTGAATGAATGGAAATAAATTGAAGTTTAGTCCTATATTTTTGACTAATGATTTTTCTTTACTACATATGAACTCTTTCCAATGGTAGAATAAATCCACAGGAATGTTCACACATTTAGGCCATGTTTTCACAGATTCTTGTCAATTTGGAATAAGAATGAAAATTTTCAAGAGGAATTCTTAACTGATTTGTTTTAAAAGAGAATTAGCATTGGCAGGTGACTAAAATATCAGAATAAAATCATCTCCAGAACTGGCAGATTCAGATCAGAAGAAAAGCTGTAGGATTGACTGGGCACGGTGGCTCCCACCTGTAATCCTAGCACTTTGGGAGGCTAAGGCGGGCGGATCACCTGAGATCAGGAGTTCGAGACCAGCCTGGCTAACATGGTGAAACCCTGTTTCTACTAAAAATACAAAAAATTAGCTGGGCGTGGTGGCACACGCCTGTAATCCCAGCTACTCGGGAGGCTGAAGCAGGAGAATTTCTTGAATACAGGAGGCAGAGGTTGCAGTGAGCAGAGATCACGCCATTGCACTCCAGCTTGGGCAACAAGAGTGAAACTCTCTCTGGAAAAAAAAAAAAAGAAAAGAAAAAGAAAAGAAAAGAAAGGCTGTAGGATTTTGCGTTGTTTCCTTTCATCTGAGTTGGAATTCAAGTAATATTTTGACTCTGTAGTATTACACGATCACTTCTTGGCCTTTTGGCTAAGATTAAGTGTATACTATTACAGGAACATGAAAATGCACCATTGTATTATCCTAGTCCATGCGAATTTGGCCTTATGGGTCATTTATTCTTTCATTCCTGACACTTCTGTCGGAAACAGAATTGTGGAATACTCCATGTAACTGTGCTTTTATATGAGGTTGATACTGTGGTCCTTAGGCTCCTGTTTCCTCATGGCTTAGACTTTTAACATAGAAATGCAGCTCTGTCACTGTCATAGCAAACAGTGGTAGCTGGCCTTGTCACCAGCTAGATTTGGCTGGATGGAAACCTGGATATCAATTTCTAGTTATTCTGAAATAGACGCTATTATTCTTCAGTGACTTTTTAGATTTTTTTGGTTTGTCTGTTTAATTTTTGAAACAACATGTTAGTCCTCTAGGGAAAATTTTCTATATGGTGTTTATAGATGGTCAACTGTTAAATAACCCTTTAGAGCCTTCTCAAAAGTAGGTATCTGGAGTCATCATTTTTAATCATCCTTCACACATGCAAAAACCAAGAAAGCAATGCACCAAGAATCAATACTTAGTAAAGGTTAGTATGGCAGGTTTCTCAACCTCTCTTTTAGAATTGTATTTTTACTTGTCTTTCTTTGATTAAAAAATCTCATCTGTCTTCTTCTCACCATATTTGGGAGATTCTCACCTGTGTCCAAGGAGGTGGGTATCTCTTTGTCTCTTTCCCTCTCCCTTTTATTTTAGGAATTGCTAATCAAGAGCATTGTTGGGCATTGCTATCTGTAGGCTGTCTCATGAAAGCAATGCAGACATGTTTGCAAATATGAAATTATTGTTCAAAGCACATGTTCTTCTCTCTCACCCCTCAGAAATCAATTCTAATTTGCCCCTGCCCCATAGAGCATCCCTGAATTTTACAGTGTGTGAGGAAAAAAACCTGAAGTGAAAAGACAACTCTATCCCTTCTTGCCTGTATATTCGGTAGCAATAGATGTTTCATTCTCTGTAAAGTATCAGACAGTAAATACCCTCAGCATTGTCTCTGTCAACACACCTACTCAACTGTGCTGTTGTAGAGGGAAGCAGTCGCAGGCAATATCTCAACAAAAGGTCCTGGTCATGTGCCAATAAAATTTTATTTACTGAAGCAGATGATGGGCCGTACTTTGCCACCCCGTGAACTATAGCAAGGAAACCTGCAAGCCTCAGTTTCTTCTTCTGTAACATGAGGTAACTGAATATACGAGCATGACCTTTCTGCCTTATAGGGTTCTTGTAAAGAGCATATTAAATTATACATGTGAAATCACTTTTGCACTATTAGGCCCTGTGCCATGGTATTTATAATAATTATAGATAGCAACATCTTATTCATTCTTCCAGAAAAGTATTTTTTATTCAGTTGTTTTTTTGAATGAAATATACCTTAAGAAAATGGAGCCCTTCATTGAAGTTCTATCACAAACATATCCCCAGCATCTACCACACGTCCAGACACACACTGGATGCTCAGGGATCACTTACTGAATGAATAAACTGGCCCTTTCAGTGGATATTAACTCATCAAGTCCTTTTTTAAGTTTTCCACCTACATTACATAATAGCAGTTACTTGAATTCATAAGGCATGTTCTCAATAGGTACCCATAACACATCAATGTATAAAGCAAAGTTTAACAAGTACTGCCAGATGAATGTTCTAGCCTGTTTAGGTGTAACAGGTAGCCTTATCTCTTTAGAAGTGATTCCACTAATTGTAGTTTTCAATGCTTTAACTTTCAGAGAACAATCACAGTAGATGTCTGCCCCACAATTGGGCATGAGTTTTTTGTTTTGTTTCTGTTTTTCTATTGAGCAGTTGCTTATTTCTATGTCTTAGGACTCAGGCATTGACTTGAATGTGGAACACACTTAGAATATGGCCAAAGATTAGAGAAAAGAATAGTAGGTCTAGCAGTGGAACCGAGAGGTGGTCACTGTACAGCCTGTAACGAGTATGATTTTGAAACTATTTTGCCCTGGAATTTTTATGTACTTGCTCTCCCTTTTCCTTTGAGGATGATGGTGCTATGTGATGAAAACTGACACACGTACAGGAAAACTTTAGACCAGCAGCTATTTTTCTTAAGGACAATTTTGGAGTCACAGAAGCTCATAGAAGTAGCTATCAGCATGTAGAATGCTGCCCATGAAGCAAGAAGATGGGAATGACTCACAGCCATATGTTGTGAACAGCCAGAGAATTCATGGACAGAAGTGTTTACTATGCAAGATTTTAAACTATCAGTAGAGCACAAGATATAAAATGTTTCTACTTTTAATTTGGAGGTTGAAGAATATTTGTTGTTGTGACAGTTGTTTCCAGAAACTTTGCTGGAATCTGCATGCCCGAATGAATGTGTGATTGTCCTGAGTGATACAGCTCATGAGAGCATAAATCAGGAGTAAGAAGTACCACATTTAGCATATCTGAGTAGTGGGGCTATAGCATCAAGGGTTATAGAAGGAGCTGATATCATTGCAAGTTTAATCAAGTAGTTTGATAAGCTGCTGTACATTTTCCCTTGTCATTTATCTAATCAGAATAAGCTAACAAGAGTGAACAAAATTTGGAAAAAGGATTTTCAATCCCCTGAAACAGCAGTCATTAACCCCACAGTAAATTAGAACACTTTCCAATTTAATGAGCCAGATTGCCCTTCTTTTCATTAAGTTGAATAAATCAGAAGAGCTGTTACTTAAAGTTTCATATCTTTAATTTTTCTTGATGAAACCTATATGAATTTTTACATCATTGATGACAGCTTCTGTTGACAATATGAAATAATTTTGGAAGCTGTCTTTCTTTTCCCTTCTGGGTATTATCCTATTCCAGAATTTGATATTTATACCTAAAGCAATCAGGGAAAAAAGCAAGTTCTGGGACAGAATCAGATATTTTCGAGCCTTTTTTTGCAAACCTCCCTTTTAGATAATACAGTTATATAACCAGCTATATTTTATGTGTACATATACATACATATATAAACACACATACACAAACACATATATACATGCATATACACATACACATACGAATAAGTATGTGTAATACACATATCATAATCTTTATATTCTTTTAAACATAATGACAATATGCAAATTATACAGGTCAGTTTTATTTTAATCCAATCTACTTATACTCTCTCCTCCACCAAAATGCAATTCTGTCAAAAGGAATTTTCAACCCATTTTTATCTTTTATTTATTTACTTTTATTTCCTTTGGAGGAGTTCGTGGCTGGCTAGAGCCTTTGTAAATAATGTAATACCACTCATTTTGTCACCAGCTTTAGAAATAAACACAATTGACCGGGTACAGTGACTCATGCCTGTAATCCCAGCACTTCGGGAGGCCAAGGTGGGCAGATCACGATGTCAGGAGATTGAGACCACCCTGGCTAACACGGTGAAACCCCATCTCTACTAAAAATACAAAAAATTAGCCAGGCGTGGTGGCAGGCACCTGTAGTCCCAGCTACTCGGGAGGCTGAGGCAGGAGAATGGCGTGAACCCGGGAGGCGGAGCTTGCAGTGAGCCAAGATGGCACCACTGCAGTTCAGCCTGTGCGACAGAGCGAGACTCTGTCTCAAAAAAAAAAAAAAAAAGATGAAATAATAAATAAACACAATTAAGAAGGACATGAAAAAGACACATTGGAAGAAATGAATGCATGGTTTTAAGTGAGTTGAGAACATTTTATTTTGGCCTGTTTTCTCCCTCCTCTTGCCATCTTTATGTTGAATAACAAAGATTTGTTTTATCTGCATTTCATTTTACACATTCAAGCACAACTCAGTTTACAAACTTCACTGAAGATTCCTGCATACAGGACTTTCAAGTGTTACCAGACTTTTTGGTTTTTTTGGTATATTATCTGAAGGCTACTTTTAATGACAGATAAACTTAGACAATTTGGACGTTATTTCCATGTGTGTTGTGTTTATTGATTGCTATGGCTGATCATGTGAATACATTAGATCATGGCTGCATTGAGACTGTTTGGCCTTGGAATAGACAGCAGAAGGAATATTGTCTGTGTGATTCTTCTGTCACCATTCCTCATCGTGCACTTCTGTAGAGCTAGGGGCTGAGGCTGCACACACCTTGAGCACCTCATTGTCCGTCCTCATTGCCCCAAGACTGTTTCATTTTCTTCCTTGGGAGGCTTCTGTCCTCCGCCTTCTCCATCACTCACTCCCCTTTGAGGTGGGCTTGAGAGCACTGAGTGCCTACTGAGGAATGTATGCTTTGATGCAGCACTCCCATTCCTTATGGCTTCAGGACATGCCCCTTGCTTCAAGAGCACAAGAACCGCTTTGGAATTAGAAGCATTTCTAGTTGCTGTATTTACTTTTTAAGTTTGCCACAGAAAATGCCAGTTTCCAATTCTTATAATAAAAATGGAACCTCCTCTGGTGGTGGATGTTTTGTTCAGCATCCACGGTAAATTTGACTTTTTAGTTTGATTGAATAATGAGCCCCAATCTAATTACACGTGACTTCTTAGGCATGCACTCTAATCAGTAAGAATTCAAGTCTTACAGACAATAATCTAGTTAAATTCTGTCCAGAGTTGTTCTTATATTGGTAAGTGATACGTGTACCAAGATTTGTTTTACCCCCAAAACAGATCCCCAATGGGATTAGTCCTCAAAAACAGCAATTTAAAAGCATATCCAAAGCACACATATTATTAGGATCTGCTTTTCTTTGTGCGGGATGTGTTGTTGACATGTGCTGATGTGAGATGTTTCTTTCCACAGAAGTGGGTGGACGGAGGCCTCACCAACGCTCTTCCCATCCTGCCCGTCGGCCGGACTGTGACCATCTCCCCCTTCAGTGGACGACTGGACATCTCCCCGCAGGACAAAGGGCAGCTGGATCTGTATGTTAATATCGCCAAGCAGGATATCATGGTGAGTAAATATGTTCAGTGATATATGAAGAGTCCTGATTTACTAAAAATTTCCACAGATTTCAACGTGTTTCCCAAGCACTGGAAGCTCATTGATAATTATAGGTAGGGGTTGCATCTTCTCTTTAGTGTATTGTTTAATACTTTACAACATGTATCAGGCATAGGAACTTGGGTTCTTATGGACTGTCAGCATTAAGTCTTTTTGCTGCTTTTATTTTTATTTATTTTTATTTTATTTTTAGCACCCCTCCTACCTTAGCCTGCCATGTAGCTGGGACTATAGATGTGCACCATCTCGCGGGGCTAATTTTTTTTTTTATCTTTTGTAGAGACAGGGTTTCACTAGGTTGCCCAGGCTGGTCTCAAACTCCCTGACTCAAGTGATTCTTCCATCTTGGCCTCCCAAAGGATTACAGACATGCACCATACCCGCCCGTTTTTGCTGCTTATTAACTGTCACTTCTTTTTCACATCAATAAACTTGGTAGGATATCAGAGCAATTTTTTTCTTCTTTGAGACAGGATGTTGCTCTGTCCCCTAGGCTGGAGTACAGTGGCAAGATCATGTCTCACTGCAGCCTCGACCACCCAGGCCCAGGTAATCTTGCCGCCTCAGCCTCCCAAGTACTTGGGACTGCAGGCACGTGCCACCACACCCGACTACCTTTTTAAAAAATTATTTGCAGAGACAAAGTCTCACTGTGTTGCCTAGGCTGGTCCCAAACTCCTGGGCTCAAGTGATCCGCCTGCCTTGGCCTCTCAAAGTGCTGGGATTACAGGCCTCAGCCACCATGCCTGGCCCAGAGCAATTTTAAATAAAACCATTTATTTGCTTAGAAAGATGGAAGTAATGAAATATATAAAACTAGTCGAGAAAAACTTAGGGACCCAAATGAATAATTGACATAAAAATACTGATTCCCTTAATCTAGTCTAATAGTTTTCCATGTGGGATGATATCGTACCCAAACATTTTTGGTTATCATGTCCCAGTTGTGCCCCTGGCATCTGGTGGGTAGAGGCCAGGAATGGTGTTAAACGTCCTACAGTGCACGTGACCATCACACAATTAAGACGTCGTGGCCCCAAATGTCAGCAGTACCAAGGCTGAGAAACCCTCCTTTACTGTATCAGTGGAGGTAACTTCTGAAGTTTAAATTTTTCCTACTGATTTTTTTGTTACTGCTAATTGTATCTGTGATAAGAAAACCTAGATTATAAAAATAGTGTATATTTTCCTGTACTGCAATATCCTACAGCTTAAATTTCAGTCTTTTTATTCTAGTTGTCCCTGGCAAACCTGGTGAGACTCAACCAAGCCCTTTTTCCCCCAAGCAAGAGGAAAATGGAATCTCTGTATCAATGTGGTTTTGATGACACTATTAAGTTTTTACTTAAAGAAAATTGGTTTGAATAAAATGCTTAAAAGCTTATAATGCAAAACATGTTTCAGACAGTTTTTGATGGAAGTTTCTAATCAAATCCTTTTTAGAAAATCTATCAAGACTCTCAATTGTATTATTACTCCTTGTAATATTTGTGTTTATTTTTAATATTTGAATTATTACCTAGTGCAAGGATGTAAGAGGCACTTTATTAGAATTTGACAATGTCATTAAGAAGGATACACTTAGGTGATAAGAAATCATTTTTGGTGAATTGTCATGTCCTTTAAAAAATGGAGGAGGATAGGCTCTTTGGGTAAATTGAGGAACATGGAAAATGGAGGGCCACCACTTAGGTGCCATGGAGAATGTGTGGCATGATCTTGACATGAAGCATGGGTGTTTCCATGACTTAGCTGTATCCCTGTAGCTCTGGAACTGAAGGAACTAGGCTCTCAGGCTGACCCAGGCCACAGGGTAGGAGAGGAAGGATTTGAGAAATAGGTGACTCATGGTTAAAGACCTTTGATCAGGACTGGAGGAACAAAGGTTTGTGTATTAGTCCATTTTCACACTGCTGAGAAAGACATACCTGAGACTGGGCAATTTACAAAAGAAAGAGGTTTAATGGACTCACAGTTCCACATAACTGGGGAGGCCTCACAATCATGGTGAAAGGTGAAAGGCATGTCTCACATGACAGCAGACAAGAGAAGAAAACTTGTGCAGGGAAACTCCCCTTTATAAAACCACCAGATCTCTTGAGACTTATTCACTATCATGAAAATAGCATGGGAAAGACCTGCCTCCATGATTTAATTACCTCCCACTGGGTCCCCCCCACAACATGTGGGAATTGTGGGAGCTACACTTCAACATGAGATTTGGGTGGGGACACAGCCAAACCATAGCAGTTTGCTTTCCACAGGTGTGTGCAGTTGCTCCCAGTGCAGTTAAGGGCAGATATCCAGAAACCTAGGAGATTTTGAAGAGGCTTATCCCCTCTCATCTTCCTCCTCTAAACCACCCCCCCCCCAGTTTAGGAGATTATCAGGCTGGTTGTCATTCATTCTCTCTCTTTCTCTCCAAGGCCATACCTCTCTGAGTATTTAGCTATTGTTCTATATATTGGATATATCTATTGTGGGAACTTAAATAGATAAAATACTACTAAACACAAAGAACCAGGTAGCCTAGTAAATAAGAATTAAATCCAGAATAATCATTCACTTCTCATTTTTAAATCATATACTGATCCCAGGTCTTTTACTTTCTGAGTAGTTCTCCATCACTTTGAGGACTTGTGTATGGGCTTGTACTAATTTACTTACACTGTCTTAAATCCTAAATCTGTTTTTATGAGATTTTGCCAAGTATGAACCCTTGATTACTACGAGGCAGTTAGAGACAAACCAATTTAATTCCATGTCTTCAATTGTCATGCATTTTCCCTTTTACCCTTTGAAACTATTTTTGAGTCAATTTTATGGTTCTCAGAAGGCAAAATACACAATTTTTTAGCACATAAACACCAAAGATGGCCTCTTTTTGAGGCGTTCTGCACAGACCCACTCTAGAATAATGATGGTCCCTGTGGTATGTAGTTTCTCCTACTCTAGCTAACATGAGGTTTAATCTTAATGTGTTGTTTCCATAAGTGACATGAAGTGGATAGATTCTCAATTGTTATGTCCACTTATTCACTAGGTAAATTTTCAGTTTTAATACTTTTATCCTTACCCCTTCCTTTGATCATTTTGTGTGAATATTCTGTTTGTATGATACACTGTATTTCAATAAATTCCTTATTGATGTACCCTTAACTTGAAGAAATTTAAGCTGCAAAACAAAATCTCATTGCATAAGACTTTTTTGAAGTGTCTGGTATTGACTATATATGTATTTGACCCTGTGGGTGGATGGTACTTTTCTTTTTAACTTTTATTTTAAGTTCAGGGGTATGTGTGCAGGTTTGTTATAGGTAAACTTCTGTCATGGGGATTTGTTGTAAAGATTAATTTATCACCCAGGTGATGGTACTTTAAAAATATTGTAAGATCATTGACATATCAGTCTGCAGCAACTTTCCTGCATGAGAGAAATACAGCGGTGTAATGAAACGCATACTTGGTACACACTAGGCACTCTCTGGGGCTGGTGCGCCAATTCTCCTGTGAGCATGCTCCCAAGCACACTCTGCTTATCTTTGCTGGAGTGTGTGCTCATGCAGCCATACTCATTGAAAACAGGCATTCACAACAGGATCTGCCTTACTTGTGGGATCAAAATTTTGAGGCATTGTAGAACTGGCATGTAGAAAATCTGAAAGGACTTTCTGACCCAGATACTGATATGTTTGCAGGATAATTACTGTGATTGGCGGCTTGATACATTCCCAATTCTCTGTGGGGGCAATTTCCTTATATCTTGGAATCTGTCATTAAAAATGTCATTAGTCTTCCTTTTCTTCTTTTCAATAACACGCTTTACTTTGTAACTATGGTAACCAACTCCTATTGACAATTAGAGAAAATAGATTTGGTTTTGAAGTTAAACAGTGCTCTAAAGGAACAAGCCATATATTAAAAAAGGAAAGAAAAAAACCTGTTAATTCTGGGTTCTCAGTATCAGGTGCGGGGTGTGTATACCAGAAGCTTGCAAAGATACAGTCACACCACTCTGGGCATTGAATTTTGATTCTAAACAAGCATGAGCACTCAAAACACGCAGATATTAGTGATTATGCTTTTAATTTTTTTGAGGATTAAAAAAGAGAAATACAATTACATAAAAACATGTTTATAAATATTAGTTGTAAAAAGTTTTTGGATCCAGTCTATTACTTTTACAATTGAGGAGCCTAACTATGGAAGATCAGTGTTTTGGGATTTTTCTTGCCTAAATTTTGTCTACATGATAGCAAAATAAAATCAGAAGTTGAAGTAATTATCTAAATAACTCAAAGTAGGAAGGAAGGCAATTATTGCAGTTCATGAAAAGTGTACAGATTTTTAGACAGTTATCATGATTCTGATTTGCAAATTGACAGTTTCCTTGGGCAGAATTCACCATTTATTTGCTTAGTTCTGCACTTCAATTTTTCTCTAACTGCACAACTCGAAGCTCTGCTTACTTAATGATAACACACGTTTATTTTTCCTCGCACATATCCGCTAACTCAGTATAATTTCCCCATTTTGACTGACTTAGAGGGGAAAAATATGATTTAATTTTATTCATACTTTAGAAAGCATGTGTGAGTACATAGTCATGTACAAGTCATAATATCACATCCAACTTAATCTTGAAATAAGATAATTTGTGAAAAACATGAATATGAACATACTTGCACATATATATGTATGTACATATGCAATACCTAAAACATGTCACAGCAGCTGCGTTTTAACTGTGCCGAGATGAAACAGCATTTATGTAATGCTCGATTTCACTGAGTTTATAAATGCTCTTTAACATTTATATAGTCAGATCCACTTTTGTGGGCAGACCTAGTAAAGTGCATATGGGTACTCTACTCTTTTGGAAAGCCCCACAGCTCCAGGCAGTCCAAGAATATCAGCCCTCCCTTGATGGGTTCAATGGCTTTGCAACA